TGCGGTTGAATATTGGGACCTTCCACGAAGACCCATGGTGCTGGTGTTCATCCAGGAACAGAACTGGGAGGAGGATGAGGAGCCTATCGTCCAACGACTAGGGAGGTTACACCCTGGCCTAAGAGTGGGATGTTGGCACCTCCTCAGCTCTAAATACAGGCGCGCAAGGCTTACCTTATTATTTTCGTTCGCCATAACGAACGTTCGCATTCAGGATACTGTTGCGTAATTGTCTCCGGCCTATACGTGTTCGGGAGGGTTACACTTCAGGGGGTTGAGAGCACTTGAGGGAGATCGATCAGGGTTCTTCAGGCTAAGCTCCAGCAAAGTAAAGCTGCCACTCGTGAAGGCTCATTAGAGTGGTTTTTGTACCTAATCCTAGGAAAACAGGACAGGGAGATGCAAAATCACTTAAGACTTATAAGTCTGATGGCTTTCTCGATGAAGATTTTGGAAAAACTGCTAGGACAGATATATACGGTTTAATGATCTGGTAAACAGCCCTCTGTATTCGGACCAGGATGTCTGTATAGCAGGCAAATCGACAGAAGCTGCACTACATCAGCTTAGTGGCTCAAGTCATCCGAGGGGTGCCCGCAGGCGGTGATCCGTCCCCATCACTGCGGATCCTGGTAGTAATGAATTAATCAGCGAACTAGACCAAGACAGGCACAGAAGCTAGGACATTGTGGATAAGCTCGTTATCCTATCGCAAGGCAAATCAATATCACGTCAGAGGACAAAATGCAAAACTCTGAATGTGGTCACAACATAGACGTCAAACGAGGTTTAAACGTAAGTCCCTCCAAGATAGCCATAGTTGCATTCACCAAAAGAGAGAAATAAGAGGGTATGACCTTTATGCCTTCTTGGAGAACAGCTACAACTGTCGGGGAAAGTCAAGTACCTGGAAGTAATACTAGACTCCAAACTCTCGTGGAACCTGCAGATCACACGCATTAAAGGAGGCGGATTCGACTTCAAGATGATGTCAATAACAGCACTTCAGACTTATCTGGATATCCCACCGATACATTTGTAATGGGGGAGGCGAGAATGGTTACTCTAGGGTACAGTTGCAGTAAATGGGACGATATGATGAACTTGGGACATAATCAAATAAGGACACATGTGGGAAGCGACATACTTGACGGCGAGAGAAGACCACATAGTTCCCAGATTTTTATTCGAATAGAACTTCGAGACCAAAAAAGGAGATCGAACGGAACAGCAAAGGCACGACCTGCAAGGGGAAATTACCTGGGATAATATAACAACTGGAAACACACATCTGTTTATCAGGTACAATGCAATCTGGCATCGCGCAAGGGTAAATAATGAGTGGCCGTATAATAAAAGGATCGCCATATACACTGACAGTTGGGCGTCACTCATAGCGTAAGGAGCCCTAGAGTGGCGTCTGCACTGGTCTGGAAATTCCAATAAGAACTGAACTTACTGGCGGAACAAAAAAAGTAACTTTGATTACTAGGACATTCAGATAACGCAGAAAATGATAGGGCGGATGATCTCGAAAGGAAAGGCTCATCCCCAACCTTTTCAGGCGCAGAACCTGCCTTGAAGGTACCAAAAAGCACAATAAGGAACAAGTCAAAAATCGGCAAGTCAGAGCTTCGTGTCAAATCCGCTCGATATCACTTTTCTAGGGAGCATTCCCTGTACGACGTCCATGCTCACGATGGTCGTGTGACAGGTGACGCCGTCCTCTTGAAACCAGGTCATGGAGTTGTATCCATCAAAATCTTGGAGCTATAGGGCCAAAATGTCTCTCTCAGCATTCGGACACAACGGTTTGAATTAACAGTTATAGATTGCCCGCGACCGATCTAAACAAAGTAGGGTCAAATCAAGCGGAGTGGTTTTTGATACTCCAGCGACGGCTGCTCCACACTCCAGTATCGGCAGTTTTGCTTGTTCACAAAACCGTTCAAACGAAAGTGAGCCTCGTCTAAAAAGTGGATGCTTCCCAAATCACAAAAACCGCTCAAACTCTAACACCGAAAATTGGAATCTCTTTGTAGGGCCAGTGTCCTTTAATTCTTGGACGATTTGAATCTTATATGGATAGTTTCAAGTAACGCTTCAACGTTCGTCTCAAACTCGTACGAGCAATACTCATCGTCGCTGATCGTCTACGAGTTGAGAGCTCTAGATCGGCTCGAACAGATTCACTCACTTCCTCGATTCTTTGATCCGTTCGTACTGTCCGCGGGCGACCTTGACGTCTTGTTGGCAATGTCGAACCGGTTTCTTGAAACCTCCTCAACCATTGTTTCATTAGTGCTAGCGCACTGATTAATACGCCGGAATCCATATTTGACTCGAAATAAACGTCGCACATTGACATAAGAACTATTATTCTCAAAGAACGCTTGCACCACGAGGGCGCCTTGTTGACCGGTTAACTGACTCATGGCTACTGAAAATTCATGAATCATGCAATCGAACGGTACCGCCCTTAAACATTTCCGCCCGCGTTTCGCTGTTTTATTTGAAAAACAAAAGTGAATTTTGTGAAACATTGAAATCTTCGAAAATTATTGAACGCACTTACCAGACACTCCTCAGGGATATCCTTATTGATGAGCTTCAATTCCCTCTTCGTCCTTACATGAACGACAAACGGGTACCGGTTCGCTGGTGGTATCCGGACCCGTGTCGACCTCCGAAGGCCAGTTCTTTCATCTAAAAGAGGATGAAAAAAATCACTCGGAAAAAGCTAGAAGTAGGAGGCGCTAGCTAGTTTGATTGACAGATTAACCTCCAACCACATTAGCGCCGCCTAGCGGGAGCAAAATTAGAGATGCCATTAAGCAAGCTTGTGGAGGAATTTTATTAACCTGAATGTGGTTTTTAATTTAATATTCTGATAGCAGGTAAAATGAAATATATGTATATTAAACTGCTAGATTCCTTGAAAATTGCAAACCACGTTCTATTGAACTGTACGTAATTTATGTAGAAAAAGTATAATCGTAGGAAAGCACTGTAATACTAAGTAATTTCTTTAAAATACAAAAATATCGACTACAGTAACTGAAAATGGGGAATTTTTAATTGTACGGTATTTTAAGCTCGTGACAAAGAAATATCAAAATGAAAATTTTCAACTGAAATCCGCCATTTTGATTTTATAAAATTTTAATACAGCCAGTGTCACTCGCACTGCCAAGATGAATCTAACAACACCTCATATGCCAAAATTCGTCAAGTCGTTTAAGCTGTAGCTCGTAACATTTTTCGGATACATGGATACATACCCACGCGGGAAAAACATTACCATCCTTCTGAGACAAGTCTTGTAATAAAGGCAGACCAATTACTCATTTAAAACGCGCACTCCGGAGACCTGGCCTGTTTATTCGTGAATTCTTGGAGTATGTAACAGGCGCAGTCCCGGTAACTGGCTTTCAACTGGTCATTTTCATTTTTAATGCCCGTACCTACTGTGACATTCGAATTTTTCCGTTATTGATGAAGTGGAGATTAAGTGGATAAATCATTAGTAAAAAGGTGAAATACAAGACTCAAGCATGAGATGCTTATAGAATGCGTTGATGGCCCATAACCACTGTTATATTTTCCTTCTCCAATGGAATAACAAGAACTTTGTAAAGTCCTTTATGCAGAGATATTTGGGCGCAATGAAGTGTATATAACTGGTGATTTTTTAAGAGGTGTAGGATTTGATTTTAAAAAAAAAACAAAAAATTTGAAAAAACGATTAAATCTTTATCTGAGTCGATAGAACGGTCGATATAATTTAATGTTTAAAGA